ACCCTTCTGAGTTTCCTGCCAGCTGTGGTGTTTCTTCAGCTTGTACAAACTGATTTCAGTGGTCTGTATTTTTGACATGCAGCACCAGCTACAGTAAATTAGAAGGACAGAGAAATTAAAGCAATCTCTGCCTTTGGATTATAAACCAAGAAGCCCCAAATTAGTTACACTGGAAGTGCAAATAGAGAAAGGATCTGTTCCAGACAGTGAGAAAACTTTCACTGACTTGTGCTACCCTTGGATAGAACCCAAAGAGAAGAGCCTGTATTATTTTCTTTCAGAATTGTTAATGAGAGTGTGAAATAAAATACAGCATTACAAAGGAACTAAACTTGTCTGTAAAAGTCTTCATCCAGCCCTACTTGGGGTGCTGTTGTCTGAGTTTTAGTTTACTCATCCAGATGTAACTATTGTCTCTTGCCCATAAAAAATGACTCAATGTGTTCTCAGCTTTCACTCGCAAAAGAAGACTTGTTGAAAAGGATAGGTTTGGCAAAAAAAAATCAAACTTCTGCCATGGTTCATTTTTTCTTACCACTGACCTATATTGTATTGTGTTGTATAATCAAGCTGGTGTCTACAGATGGTGTAAGTACATGAGGAATTTTTTTTTTTGACAGCAGCATGTATTATTTTTCTCTATCATTGTTGATCTAATATTTAGCAAATTACCAGCTGAACAGTGTATATTCTACAGTTTAATATTTCAAGTTAAATTACAGTTTTAATGGTTGACATTCAGCGGCACTCTTATTCTGCTGACAATAGAAATTTCAGAATGTTGTGTGGACTAGTAGTATTCTCATCTAGTTACTCAGAAAAATAAATGCTTTGCTAATAACTGTGAAACAGCTAAATTTGTAACCTTGCACTCACAGCTGAATTATCAAAAAATATATGTAGCTTATATGGTTCTCAGCTGATTGTGGTTACATGCTGAAAATACTCACAGCTGAATTATCAAAAAATATATGGTTCTCGGCTGATTGTGGTTACATGCTGAAAATATGCAGCTGAATATGCACATGCTAGAATGTAGTAAATACAACAATTATGGATCTTGTAATAATTTTCACATCAGACTGTACTAAGTTTAGTGCTCAGTTAGCAGTCTAAAACTTAGGCGGAATGACATCTAAATTAGGGGTAAAATATAGGCTGCTCCACAACTCCAACAACGGATAAATAGGCTCCTCTCACCCTATCTGCCAGAAATCACTCATTCTAGGAAGCAATGTTCCAGTATCTGTCTGTCTGAGCAGCAACTGCCTACATTACCGAGTATTAGAGCACTTTTAAAACACAGCCCTCAGTTAGAATGTAAATGAACTCAAGCAAATGGCAGTAACTCAGACCAGCTGACCACAAGCAAGACTTCTCTCATGGGCTGGCAGATTGCAAGAAGTGACCTTCAGCACCTTCACCAAAGACAAAAAGCTTCATTTCCATTAGTACCGATGGTGATCTCCTACTGGAGTTATCAGATCAGACAGTTACCAGATCAGACAGAGTAACATTCATGTTATTCATGAAAACATCCATTCTGTGTTTTGGGAATGAAATCAGAACTGCTGCCTTTGATGCCAAAGCAGGCATTTCTAAGAGGGAAATGGATGAATTCAAGGGTCGCACAAAAAAAGTGTCTTTTCCACCAAAATAAAATCTCAAGAGAATTATTCTTGTCTACATGACAGAAAACATTACATAGTCAAACAAGAATTTTTCTTCTGAGATGCAGATAGTGTCAAATAACTAGGTGACCAGGAGAGTCAGCGGAAAAAGAAAAATCTAGCTTCAAAGTTGGGTCAAATCCCAAATTTTCTGCTATTTATAATCTTTCTCCATTTCATGAACATTTCTGGAAAGACTTGTCTCTGATTGCAGAACAAGAATATTTTTGAAATCTCAGAAAATTCCATAAAATGAGATTATTGTTCTCCATTCAGGTATCACACCAACCATTACTTAAATATTTTTAGCTGCCTAACAAAGACTTGCTTAGAACTGATTCCAAGTGATGACATGCTAATTGAAAGTTTTGTGTACAGCAGACACACTGTTTCCCTTCCCTCCCCCATCAGCATTTTCAGATAGACTCTACTGATCCTAGGACTTTAGAGAGCTGCTGAGGTAATGCTTACACTGAAGTTCAAGGAAAGTTTTGGAACATCCTCTAGTTAAAAACACCTAACGCCAAAAAACTTAATTCTTAACAGGACAACTTAACTTGCAAAAGGAATCTGTTTTTCAAGCCAGATCTTATTTCTGAGCCCTTCTTATTTTAAAGCTGCATTGAAACAGAAGCGTAATCTCTTCAGAGAGTCAGTATGGTTTCCATTTGGTATTATCCCATGACTTGAGATAATTCCATCACTGCTATAGCTCTCAAGTGGGTGAAGGAAAGATGTTTTCCTCTATTCCTGAAGGTAATCAAGGGTGTAATGCGAGTGAGGGGGAGTGAAATGTAGATAAAGACAGGATATTCTTTAGTTTTACAAAACTGATCAAGGGAACTGCTGTGTGAAAACTCACGGACAGATCAACAGACACAGTGGCCATGGTAAAATGGCTTACCTTCTACTCAGGATACATGTGGAATACATTGAGCTTAAAATTAAAACATCTCTCTGGTTAATCTCTGAGTAAATCTACTGAACTGTAGCTCACAGCTGCTATGCCCCCCAACAGGAATACACTTCTGCTTGTTTATAAGCGTTTCTACATGTGTTTCAAAGGTGTCTGAACTCAAAAAATTTCCTGGGTCTGATTTTGCTTTCTCATTTACTCTCATCCTGAAGAGGGACGGAAATGTATCTATATATGTAGTTTGTATTATATCTCATATTTCCAATCTTTCAATTTATAGAACAAGAATAGGGTTTTTTTTTGAAAGTGGATGAAGAAAGAAATCCTGAAAGTCAACAAGATACCTTTTAAAACACGGGTCTTGGCTTTGACTTCAGCTGACTGGTGAAGAAGAGAGGAATGAATATCGATACGCATTTTTAGAGAACACACTAGGAACTAGAACAGAGGTTCCCAAACTTTTTTGGATTGCTGTCAACCCTCAGAATTTCTTGCGGACCACCAGGCATCATTATCATCAAACTTTTAATTGAAAACACTATTAAAAACAGCATTTAATATGGCTCTGTGGATTAGCTGTGAACCCTTTACCGTGGCCTCCTGGACCACCAGTGTTCTGCGGACCACGGTTTGGGAACCACCAAACCAGACTACACACATAGTACACCCCTACAAAACACTTCTGTGTCTGAAAGTCCTTCTGTTGCACAATGTACTCAAATAATACACAAGTCAGTTTAACCTTCTTGATACCTGAAGAACACAGCACCCTTTTATTTTTCTCTTACCTTAAGTTTCTTTTTTTATTGCTTTGGAGAAATGAGTAAATGGTGCCAGAAAACAGTTTACGATTGTTTCTTGTACGATCTTTCTTATATCCGGCAGTGGTGTAACTTTTCAGGAAGCTACCTATGAAAATAAGAAATATAAAACATAAAAACCCCCACACTGTGCAGTGGTCATTCCAGAATAGCTATGATATCTGTGAATCCTAAAATAAAAAAGATTAAAAATAGTTTGTCAGTTTTCTGTTGGTGTTTTTTTTTTTGTTTGTCTTTTTTTTCTCCTCTGGAAAATTTGTTCTTTTTTTTTCCTTCCCAAATCCATTAATGATATTAGAGCTCTGTGTGTGGTCATTAAAGCATTTCAGCAACTTTCTGCAAATTCTTTACAGTTATTCTTTGGCTGCAGTATTAGCAAGTTGTCTGTTTATCACCAGATAAACACACAGAAGAAAATAAGGATAGCGGTGAGAAAGGAACTTGCAGGGAAACATTATAAATAAGAACATCAAAACACCAAGGGCCTTGATCCAGCCCTACATTAAGTCAGTGACAGAGTGTGATCTCATATGAAAGCACCGATGGGCTGTAGCATCCCTTTTGATTGTTCTGCCCCTGTATCTCCTTGCTTATGCACATCCCACAGGCAACTCAGCCAAACAGTGTCTAGTAAAGAAAGGGGGTTTATTTGCCTCTCTTCGTAGACTCGCTATCAACAGCTATAACGTGGAATTGGGAATGAGGAACCTTGGCAACTACTATCATCATAGAAAAACAAAAAGAACTTTTTTCTAAAAGAACTTTTTTCTAAGAGGTCTTTTTTTTTTTTTCTAAAGAACACTGTGCTTCCATGACAGTATCTCACTTGTTTTGGAGAGGAAATAATGTTGCCACAGCACTTCCATACCCCTTGTATGCTCAATAGCCAAGGTAATGCAGAGGTTCGAGTCAGAGTGAGAGCGCAAAAGGGTAGTTACAGCAACACTAAGATGCAAGAGAAGTCAGCAAGGGAAAGGGGTAGTCTCTACTTTACCTTGAAAGAAAACAAAACCTACCTAGCTCTTGTCTCTGCAGGCCTCCCTTGCAATACTTTACACTCAGCATCACTAATGGGTGCTACTGGAGCATTTATAAAGGTGGTTTAATAATCTTCCCCATTTGTGTCCTAGCACTCTAGCACACCTGAAAGGGTCTGGTATTTCTTACGTTGCCTGAACATTTTTCTTTTTCCATGCAGTGCCAATGGTTAGAGGTAACTATTGTTTTCCAGTGAGTATTGCTGCCAGTGACTCTCTTACTATTCATCTGATATAGATAATGTTCAGCTTGCAAACCTGACTAGACAGTGTAAAAACAAATGGTATTGCCTCACCTCACCACTGTCGAGACTCATTGCCAAATTCCCCTTTGGTGAAGGGGGTTAGGTGAGACTGTCATATGGCTGGTGCTTACCTGGGGTAATATGGCCCCATTGAGCCAAGCATTTTAAATATGTAAGAATGAGAATTACCCACCAGAAATAACGCCATCCTCACATTCCTGCCTGACACTGTTGCTGTAGATAATGTCTGTACTTTCTTTAGTAAGTGCTGCCTTTCTGCCAACCCACCAGCTTTTGGCTTCTCTCCACAGGAAGCAGGGAAGCTGCGTTCACCTATGCCATTACTGCTGCCGGGGTTGCACACGCTGTCACGGCCGCCTGCAGCCAAGGCAACCTCAGCAATTGTGGCTGTGACCGAGAGAAACAGGGCTACTACAACCAGGAGGAGGGCTGGAAGTGGGGAGGCTGCTCTGCGGATATCAGATACGGCATTGAGTTCTCCCGGAGGTTTGTTGATGCCCGAGAAATCAAAAAGAATGCACGGAGGCTGATGAACTTGCACAACAATGAGGCTGGAAGAAAGGTATTCCAGAAAGGATGAGGGATGGGGTAACGTGTGTGCTGGAGGACGGGGGGGAGGCTGGCTTGGTGGCAGGAGGCATTCCCTGAGAACTCACCCCTCTCTCTGCTATTATCCCACATCAAGCTACCTGATGGCATCTAATGTTTATGTTTTGTTGCTGTTTCTTTTTATTCAGACCTGGCCATGTATTATAGATGCTCACCTAAACTTTTCTGCTTCCTAAGCCTTCTCTCCAGTCCCACTGATAACAGAGAGGACTTTGCTGGAGCTGTTTGGCATCACATCTTTTGCATTTTTCATCTCCTTTGCAAAAATCTAACAAGAGATGTTGGGGCTTGTGATGGGGCAGGACTGAGTGTCTGCATTGCTGAACTCCCACAGCACTTGCAGCTATTTATTCCATCCAAACCCAAAACATTTATTTGACCACAGCTCTAATGAAATACACACTTCATAGCAAATGCACAATTGTCCACGTCGCGCTTGTGGGCTACAAATGGCTGCATAAGTGTCACTTTGGAAGAAGAAACAGTTTCATGTTTGCGACCATGGCTGAGTTGCTTGCAATGGAAACCATGAACATCATGGAGCTATGCTGATTTATGTCCAGTGAATAACAATCCTCATAGCTCTCAAAGCTTACCTTCTAAAAGTATAACAAATCTTTCTGCATAATATATACCTACCTCAGGAAAGATTTTAATATACCCTTCAAAGTGCTTTCACCCAGGTAAAAAAATGCTTCTTTTACCCTCCAGTGTTGTAGGAGACTCCGATATACCACTCCTCCATGTCTAGCCCCCAAAGTTAGACTGAAATTTTCTCCCTTACTCCGTGTGTGTTTTCACCTACACCAAGCACTAGCTGCTGAGATGGGCAGAGATGGTTGAATTGGTGGTGACAGAAGCAGTACAGTTCTCTTACTACCTGTATTTTGGAGAATGCTTATTAACATTGTTGTGGTTTAACCCCAGCTGGCAGCTACAACCACGCAGCTGCTCGCTTACTCCCTCCAGTTGCAATGGGGGAGAGAATCAGAAGAGTAAAAATGAGGAAAAACTTGTGGGTTGGGATAAAGACAGTTTGATAAATAGAGCAAAAGCTGCACACACAAGCAAAGCAAAGTAAGAAATTCATTCACTGCTTCCCATGGGCAGGCAGGTGTTCAGCCATCTCCAGGAAAGCAGGGCTCCATCACGCATAATGGTTACTTGGGAGGACAAATGCCATAATTCCAAACGTCTCTCCCATTCTTCTTCTTCCCCCAGCTTTATATAATGACCATGAGGTCATATGGCATGGTATATCCCCTTGGTCCATTGCGGTCAGCTGTCCTGGCTGTGTCCCCTCCCAGCTTCTTGTGCTCCCCCCCGTCTACCTGCTCACAGGGGTGGTATGAGGAGCAGAAAAGGCCTTGACTGCTTAGCAACAATGAAAAACACCAGTGCGCTATCACACTATTTCCATCCCAAATCCAAAACACAGCACTATAGCAGCTGCTAGTAAGAAAGTTAGCTCTATCCCAGCTGAAACCATGACATACGCAGACCATGCAACAAAACCTCCTGGGGACTGCAGCTGGTTGTGTGTGAAACTGAGGGTGGTGTATGGACAATTATCCATTGGGATGAAAGTATTATATAAATTCAAAGTAGTGAATGAGAGCAGTTATGGGGCATAATCTCAAATGTACCGACAGGCTCAATACTCAATTGGTGCTTGATGCTGAGGTCTCCATATGTGAAGGAGACAGCTCTCTGAAGAGCCAAACAGAAAAGCATCCTTAAGAGGGGCACAATCTTTTTTTTCCAAAACTTGCTGTGTTTGGGGGTTAGAACACCCCACACTACTCTATTGCAGCTTGGAAGACCAGCTCCAGGTCTCATCACTTCTCTCAGCCTGGATGTTTCACCTCGGAGTCATGCATTGCATTTGGATGGAAAGGATGGAAGCCACATGTTAAGCTCACAATGGAGCATTTATTACTGCTAGGTGCATTATAATCCCTACTTAAATTGGCAATCCTCCGTAGGGGGAACTGTACCACCCCCATGGAGATGTTGATGCCTGTCCTGTTTTGAACATGTTACAGTAACATGTTACAGTCTGGATGTGAAGAGGGACAAAAGAACAAAAGCGGATGCATAGATGGAGAATAGTGAAGTCCCGTGCCCAAAGACAGAAGGCGGCTCCATATCTGAGACGGGCACTGATCCCAGGTCCCCCAGTTCTAAATATAGTCCAGTAACCACTAGACCACATTGCTGATTCTTATTAAGCAAATTATATTTTTAGTCTTCATCAGAATTTCATAAGCAGGGGGACATAAGCAAACCAAAGAAGCGTGTATTTTTGCAAATATTTCTGGTAGCAGCATTCATGCAAATGTATTTCTTTTAACATTCCTAAGAACTTAATTTGCTGCAAATGTTCTTGCAAACCCAAATTATAACATTCACTTTTGTGTTTTTGAGATAGGAGTAAAAAGGCTTGTAAATACTGACGATATAGGGTTGGTTTTTTTTTCCAAGGTACCCTTTTTCATAAACAGTATTTTAGAGTTCCCATACTTTTTTTTGGTGTTGGCAGTTTTCAGTAGTTATTTATACCCATATATTTTCATTGTAATCATTAATGCATCATATTGCTTTCAAAAACTAAGGATGACTGAAAGGATTTGGTACAGCTTTTTGTTTTTGTTTTTAAGTACAATCCATCAAATCCTGAAGAATGTGCTCATATAAAAGATGGTTTGGGGGCCATGTTTAGAAATAATGTTGGTGTTATGACATACATTCCCATGAAATGAATATGCAAAGTTGGACAGTATATAATACTTAGTGATTTTGGTTCATCTGAGATCATCTGCTATTTGTATAAATTAGACATTCTGAATTTGAGACTGACTGAAACTTAAGTTTAGAACAAAACTCTGGAAACTAGGATATGTTTTCTTTGTTTTCTGGGTTGGACCTTTACGAAAGCAGCCACAGAGTTTTGTGCAATTTCAACGTGAAACCACAAGTCCCTTCTGAGAATCCAAGCAAACTTGATATCTGACATACAACCACCTGAAATTTGGCAGTTTTGGGGGTCTTGGGTAAACCTGGATTGGATTGTGCACATAACACAAAATCTGAAACCATGAGATTTTGCTTATGTGTGGGTGTCATTCTGACATACTCCACATGGTCCTCACTCATGCGCAAGTTAGAAATACTGCATTTATGTCTGGGCACTTGCTGAAGCACAACACTGAACCTCCATCTTCCTTCTTTCCTCCGTCTAAAATCTCACAACTGGGAAAAGCTCATATATCTCTGAGTGAGACTCTGTCAGTACCATCCTGTTGAACTGAATGTGACTTGTCTTAAAATTTGGAAACAGTTTAGAGCCAAGCTTCTGTTTCATGACTACTGTTATTAATGACTAAAGTAACAGTATTTTTCTCTCGTTCTGAATAGGAATAAAAGGTTAGAAGGAGACCGCAGCCAACTCAGATTTATTTTTTTTTTTTACCTCTCTGTTTCTTCAGAAGTTCTGAAATAATTTTTTCAACCTTCAGGTGGGAATGCCAAGACAGTAAAGGAAATATATGTTTTTGTAGCTTCCTACGGAGATTCTGCCAACCATTAAAATAATTCTTAGTTACAGTTCAGTCTTATCAAAACTGGTACAGGGAAAAAAAATCCAACATCTTGATTATATCAACATTGGTCCATTTCCCAAGGTCTTATATTTCACAACACTTTCACTATTAAACCACCCCCCACACACACCCCCCCATTTAAATCTATAATGGTAAGGCTCACAGTTGTTATTCAGTACTGGCATAGTTCATACTGAGTTGGTTTTTTGAGTTAGTTAACAACAATATTTAGTGAATAAATCTGCTATCTTCATTTTAGTCTTCTCTTTAAATCCCAGAGCCTCCTAAGACAGAAACATGAGGAAAAAAGGATGCAAAGAACTCCCACCCCCCCCTACAGTTATTTCCAACTTGCTCTGAAGTCAGTGGAAGACCCCTGATGACCTCACTAGACCTCTACCAGGTGCCCAGAAGATCATTACTAGGATGATTATCCAGTACTCTGACCATTAGTTTTGTCCCCAGAGCAATTATTTAGATGCTCTTTTAATACCATTGCATGGAGTTTGTCATGTCCTGGTGCAGGAGTTTTACCTATCCTCAATCTCTCCCAGCACTTGTCCCAGATGCGCCTGGGAGACAGAGGCATTCGTAACTATAGCAGTGACCATGATGTTTTGCTTTCATAGGGATGTTCTCAAAAGCCATCCCACTGGTATTTCACTGTTGTTAAAAATAGAGTTCTGAGGAATTTCTTTCTGAGGAAAAAACTGCACACTCTAAATAATTGCATAAACTTTGCAAACAGATGGGTGGAAATAGTTCTGGGGACTCAGCTGAGATGCTCAGCACAACACTCCGATAAAGTACCTCCTGGAAAACAGACAATATTTAGGCTTTTCAGGGAATTTCTGATGACTCTGGAAAGAATGAAGCCCCTAATTGCCCCACATTTCATCTGCTAGTTGCTCTGCATTGCATTTCTATGAATTATTTAAGCTAATGGCAAACTTGTGAAGTTTCTAGTAAATTTGTAATTAATAGCACCAGTGACAAAATAATAAACGTGCCATTGGTGCCATTTGGAAGAAATAAATGCTTTGTGATTCCTGGTGACGTGAGATGCTGTTGGTGGAAGATTTACGCCTTGCGGCAAAACAGTGCCGTGCGGTGTAAAAGAGCGAAGTAACTAAGTTCACCATCATGTTTTAAATGGCCGCTATGATTCAGGATGGAAAGTACAAATGTGGTAAATGAAAACAAGCCCCCAAAGGAAGACAAGTATAAGTGTAATGCAAATGTTACTGAAAGAATAGTTTGTTGCAAATCGGAACGATTACAGAGGGATCTGTGGGCAAAAACTTTGATAGAGTAATGAAAAATTAAATACCAACAAAACCAAGTAAGCTTT